CTGTGTGATATGTACTGTGCACCTGGGATTCATTAGAGTAAATATGAACTCTGCCTTTACACACAGGAGATCGTAGTGTGGTGTGTGTTTTTAACACAACCATAATATATTAATTTTCCATATATAAAATTAGAGAATCAAGTCTTGCATACAGATCATTAAATCAGAAGGCTTTGAAAAGTTTGTGTTCTCTTGCCCTCTTCCACACTTTCCATACAGTAAGTTCAAAATTATTCCCTAAGTATAATGTGTTTCACTAACAAATAGAGGGGTGGGATGACAGAGAATAGCCCAACTGAAGAAGCTCATAGCCTGGTGGATGAGCATAGGCATTGCACCCAAAGGGTCCCAGGTCCTTTCTCTTGAATCTCCAGGTCAGGCTGTGAAATGTTGGAGACACACTGTTTGTCAGTGTAGGCCAAACTGACCTAGATGCATCAATGGTCTGAATCAGTATAAAATAGTTAGAGATAGAGAGGAAATCTGTTTGAAACATATTTATCCATGGAATTTGGCACTTCTGGCCATACTGGATTACTTCTTACATCAAGTATTCTCTTACAACCAAGCCACTGGTGCATTGTCACTTTTTAAAAAATTGCACAACTGATTATATTCAAAATTCTAAACAAAATTACAGAGGGGGGAGCATGTTATATGTGTAAAAGAGTCAAGCCCAATGTGGTACTATATTTTAACTATTAATATGTAAGAATTTATATACAGTTACAGGCTTTTTTGTATGCATCTGTTTACATGCTGGTTACTTTAGGGAACCTGGATTGTATATGCATATAATACCCAAGAAATGTTCGTATTTTTAGTGGAACCGGGGGAAAGGAATACCTTCCTTCTTGACAAGAGCAAAGGAGCAAGAAAAGAAAGAAAGACTCATGTGGATAACTTCAGCATCAAGTTGTTCAGAAGGTTCCATCCCTAAAGGTAGTTTCCAGTGCTTCTGCTTTACTATCTACTTCTGAGTAAACTTGCAGAAGGCCTGCCTTCAGACATAAGGCTCGTCCACACTGACCTCTGCTCCACATTTCTAAGGACAGGTTCCGGCTTTCTGGGTCTGTATCCCAGCTCTTTGTTTAATTTTTGGCCTGCCGCTTTCTCCTTGAAAAACTGTTTACCACTGAATTGGAGCAAACAGCAATCCACAGAAAACCCAAAATGTCATTGCTCTGATTCAGCGATAAAGATTGGGTTTTCCTGGGGAAAGTTACAGAAACAAAAACAAAAAGTGCTCGGACACAGACCAAGAAAGCTTGGACCTGTGCCTAGAAAGCATGGGGCAAAAGGTAAGCCCTAAATCTCACTATTTTCCATACTGAAAGAAGAGGAAGCAGTGAAGAGGTTAGTAGGATGGATTCTATAAAGTTCTCAGACATGTAATGTTTCCACATTAATTTGATGGGGGCTGTTTTACAACCCCTTGCATGCATCTGCAGCGGAAAAGGCAAGCTTTTAAAATTGTGTGCCTGCTTTTTTAATTGATCCTGAGATATCCTTGAGTGTTAAGGTGGTGTAGTGTAGTGGTTAAGTACAGTATGGAGAGCCAGTGTGGTGTAGTGCTTAAGAGCGGTGGAATTGTAATCTGGTGAACCGGGTTCGATTCCCCGCTCCTCCACATGCAGCTGCTGGGTGACCTTGGGCCAGTCACACTTCTCTGAAGTCTCTCAGCCCCACTCACCTCACCGGGTGTTTGTTATGGGGGAGGAAGGGAAAAGGAGATTGTTAGCCGCTTTGAGACTCCTTCGGGTAGTGATAAAGCGGGATATCAAATCCAAACTCTTCTTCTTCTTCTCTTAAGCTGCTATTGGGACAAAAATGGGATGGGAGGATTTTACTCATGTAACTTTAGGATAGGGAGAACTCTGTTATTGTTACATTAATTTCAAATTGAAGCCTTTTTGTGTTTTGTTTTCTGGAACCTGTCCTGAAGCTTTATTGAATAGCATAATGAAAATCAGTATCAGTAAATGCCACTTGGGGGAGTTAAATAATAGGGAGGGTGGGGCAGGGTAACTTCAGTAATAACTGTGCCATTTAAAGAACACTGTCTTGTTCACCAGTTTGATGGGGGCTAATTACCCTGCAGCTTTCTTTCCTCCCTTTTCTTATACTCACAACCAGGGTGATTTAAAAGAAAAAGATTCTTATCCCACCCTAAGTCTAAGCTGAATTGGTGATTCAAAATATAGAACCAGAAGGTGGTGATTATTGTGCATTAGTCAGCACTGAATGTTTTGTGGTGGAGCATTGAGGCGAGGCTTCCTTCTTTATTTGAGTTTCCAGAAATAAAACAACATCATCCAAGAACTATTCTTTACTTGATCCCCATCCCAGTACACACACACCCTCCCCATGTAAAATGTTATTAGAAACCTTATCACTGCCAAGCAGTGGAACAATGTTTTTAAAAGGAGAAAAAGAGCCTGTAAGCCCTTGGGCAATGCCATAAAAGAAAAGAAAAAAACTAGGAATGAGCAGATCAGGATTAGAAAGGTCTGTAGACATGCAATCTAATCTGCATGTATATGTTCCCATCCAGCCCATCAAATGTAGACCATGGAGGTTTGTCCAAAATTCTGGAACCAACCAAAATCCTCCCTCCATCCTTACCTGTCACCCTGAAAATATTATTCTACTCCACCTCCCATCAGCTACAGCCAGCATGACTTATGCTCAAGGATTATGAGAGATGTACAGTGGTGCCCCGCAAGACGAATGCCTCGCAAGACGGAAAAACCGCTAGACGAAAGGGTTTTCCGTTCTGAAGTTGCTTCGCAGGACGAATTCCCCTATGGGCTTGCTTCGCAAGACGAAAATACCTTGCGAGTCTAGAGATTTTTTTTTCGCTTTCCCCACCTTTATCTAATCTGCTAAGCCTTTAATAGCCTTTAATAGCCTTTTAGCAGCTAATCCCCTAAGCCTTTAAGCCTTTAATAGCCGCTAAACAGCTGATAGCGCTAATAGCGCTAATCCGTCAATGGGCTTGCTTCGCAAGACGAAAAAACCGCTAGACGAAGACTCTTGCGGAACGGATTAATTTCGTCTTGCGAGGCACCACTGTAGTCCAAAAGTATCTCATAGCCTCCATTCCTGCTCTCCATCTCTGCTTTATGTGATGCTAGTTCTCATGTGTAAAAAAAAATCTCTTCCACGAGGCTTCTCACTACTAGCAAAATGGCCAAAACATACAGGCATGCATTACATACATCACCTTTCCATAGTTAAAACCATGCTCAATGTGGCTTACAGCATTGGGAGGGGGGGGGGAATCATGATTACAAACATAACAAAGTAGTCTTGAACAGTAAATAAAATGTTTAAAAGTGCACAACTAAAATATGCAATTTCCACATAAATCATTAGAATATCTAAAATAAAAATACAAAAATTAATATGAATAACAGCAACAACCCCCACTAAACAATATCCCAGTCCAAGAGTCTCCTCAGCAGCCTCAGCTTTTGTAACTGGGGTCAAACAAAACAAGGAGGCCAAGTATTTACTGCTTAGATACACATCCCTGGAACACAGTCAGAGCACTGACACAGCAACAAATTAGCATAACATGTAAATATTAGATAGGTTGGTATTATTCAGCTTTATTTACTTGCTTTCTTCAATTACCATCTTTGCTCTCCAGGTTCTTGATGCTGAAAAGATGGACAAGCAGAATAATCACAGCAGGGTGACAGAATTCATCTTGATGGGATTCACTGATGACCCAAAGGTGCAGATTGCCCTCTTCTTGCTCTTTCTAGCCATCTATGTTATCACTGTGGCTGGAAGCCTCAGCCTGATTGCGCTGATCAGGACTTACTCCCACCTGCACACTCCCATGTACTTCTTCCTCTGCCACTTATCATTCACAGACCTCTGCTATACCTCTGCTATAGCCCCCAAGATGCTGGTGAGCTACTTGGTGGGTGATAAAACCATCTCTTATGCTGGCTGTGCTGCTCAGCTGTGCTCATTTGCTGCCTTTGTGAGTACCGAGTGTTTCCTTTTGGCTGTGATGGCATTTGACCGCTACATGGCTATTTGTAACCCACTTCTGTACTCTGCTGTCATGTCCCAAAGAGTGTGCAGCTGCCTGGTTGTAGGATCGTATGCAGCTGGTTTTGCCAACTCAGCGCTGCAGACAGTATGTATATTCAGATTATCCTACTGTGGACACAACATCATCAAACATTTCTTCTGTGATATCCCTAAACTTCTGAAGCTTTCCTGCTCTGAAACCTTCCTTTCAGAGTCACTGTCAGTCTTTGCATCTGGAGCAGTTGCTATGACCTCTCTTTCAGCCATTATTATCTCCTACTTCTGCATTTTATCTGCCATCCTGAAAATACACTCTATCAAGGGCAGACACAAGGCCTTCTCCACTTGTGCTTCTCACTTGACCTCAGTGGCTCTGCTTTATGGAACGGGGACCTTTATGTATATACATCCCAACTTGAAATCTGGACTAGATGGTAATATGGTGGTTTCTGTAGTTTACACATTAGTGATACCCATGCTCAACCCCCTAATCTATAGTTTGAGAAACAAAGAGGTGAAAGAGGCCATTAGAAAAGCCACAACAAAAATGAAAGAACATCCCCCTTCCAAAAGCATTGAGGGAAATGATGGTAACCAATGTCGCACCCCAAGACTGAACAATTTAAACCAAGGTAAGATTACATAGATGCATTACACTGTTCCAGACCATTGGTTCAACTTGCTCTCTATTCTCTACTTTAACTGGTGATAGCTCTCCAGGGTTTCAGACATAGCTCTCCCTGCCCTACCTGGAGACACTGAACCTGGGACCTTCTGCATGCAAAGCAGATCCTCTACTATTGACTAATAATAATAATAATAATAATAATTTTATTTGCCCCCACCACTCTGGGCGGCTTCCAACACACGTAAAAATCAAAATCAAAATCAAATATTAATAGATTCAGTTAGGTAGCCGTGTTGGTCTGACACAGTCGAAATATATATAAAAATAAAAAATTGTCCAGTAGCACCTTAGAGACCAACTAAGTTTGTTCTTGGTATCATACACACAAAAGCTAATACCAAGAACAAACTTAATTGGTCTCTAAGGTGCTACTGGACAATTTTTTATTTTTATATATATTCAAACATTAATAGTAACAATCTTATCCAATATAAAAAGTTGCAGTAACTTTAAAATAAACCATTTTCAATAATCCAGTAGAATTACAGTTCTTCCCTCAACTACATAGTTGTGTTACATGAACAAAGAAAGTTAGACCCCTTTCCTTAGTCTGACCCCATCTTGGATGCTAGTATCTTTATGCATATCTTCTCAATAATGACGACCTTATCCTTAAACTGAGTTACAATGAATCAGTTATGACCACCTTCTACAACGTGATAATCACTTCAAGGAAGTCAGAGCATTTCTGTGTCACAGTGTTATTTCATTGTGATTCCTTCCATCGACGTTGTTGCTCAAGATCCTATCCATTCTCTTTCACTAGCTACTGAACATTTCTCTGTATGTCACATTCTTTTTTCAGACACAACACCCAACTTTCCCTTGTTTTCAGAGGGAACTGTGGGTCACGGGGCCTCGGCACGCAATTCCACAAGACCTCACCAGAATGGTGGGATGGGCGAATTGTCCGCATGGGTGCTGCCTCATGGGATTCTGCTGCCCAAGGTGGCTGCTTCAGCCCACCTTATGGGCGGACCAGCCCTAGCCATTGGTCATACTGGGTGGGGCTGATGGGAACTGGAGTGAAAAAACAGCTGGCAGGGCGCAGGTTCTCCATCCCTGCCATAAATGAAACAGATGTCAAGGTTCTGAGACATACATTCATGTGTAACATATCTTTCGATCCAAATATAAGGTAAGAGAATATAATAAACTGGAAACCCCAAGGGAGTGGAGAAAAGTAAACTATGGTGCCCTGTGCATTCATTTTAATTGCTGTGTGCCTTTAACTGAGTATTGAGACGTTCAAGGCATAAAGTACTCACGAGATTATCTAAAGCAGATATTATAAATACCCCATTCTATTAATTCTACCCTACCTGGTTTTTCTGCTGTAACTTGCATTACTTAGATCAGGTGGGTCTTGGGTAATAACTTTGTGACAGCCAGTGATTAGGAATTAAAGGTTCCTACTGTTCTTCTCTGTCATCAACAGTAATTAGCTCTGTGTTTACTTCCATCTTTTGCAAATTATGAAAAATATTTCAACAGAAGTACTATGTCTGTTTGGTGAGCTGGATATATGAGGAGCTTTTGTATGGGGTAAATGTACACAGTTGGAGTAATTTAACAGTAGTGTTAATACTAGGGTGATATATTATGTAGTTTTGCATTTCAAAGCTCTAGAACCTAAGCTGGAGTAAGATCCATGGTAGACAATGTATTTACCATGCGTGTGTTTCCAGGACCATGGGAAGAAGGTGAGTTGGCCTTTTCTCTAGGCGCTATTTTCCCATGAAAATCCTCTCCAATCTGCTAGTATTTACCCCCAAAGATGCCATTTGACTCCCACTGATATTATCCACATTTTCCATGAGAAATAAAAAGTTTATTGCAGATCCAGCCACAGCACCCCCCACCCCTGTGGACAAAGACATTGAGCACAGATATTTGGAACAAACTTGACACGACAACCTTCTGGGATTGGAAAGGTGGCCACACCTTTATTGAATACAGATATAGGTAGACTTTGGCTCAGGCATTGGATCGATTATCAACCTCTGGGTGGAAGGCTGAAGTTTGAAGGGGCTTTTACTATGTTCACAGCTTATTTCTCACAGCAAATTGGAAAATTCATAGAGATATTTCCCTTTGAAGTCAGTAAGACTCAGTATTCACAACAGTTTGCAGCTTAAAGAAATTCAAGTGGTCCAAATTGCATTGCAGTCTTTTTATACTAATAGCTTTATAAAGGTAAAGGTAAAGGGACCCCTGACCATTAGGTCCAGTCGTGACCGACTCTGGGGTTGCGGCGCTCATCTCGCTTTATTGGCCGAGGGAGCCGGCGTACAGCTTCCGGGTCATGTGGCCAGCATGACTAAGCCGCTTCTGGCGAACCAGAGCAGCGCACGGAAACGCCGTTTACCTTCCCGCCAGAGCGGTACCTATTTATCTACTTGCACTTTGACGTGCTTTCGAACTGCTAGGTTGGCAGGAGAATAGCTTTATAATCAATTTATAAAGCACCATGCACACTCAAAACCCAGCTTTTTTTAAAAAAAAAGAAAAAAGCAGGCTTCCAAAACATCTGAGCAAGAAAAAGATAAGCAAAAGAAAGGGGGTTAAAGAAAAGGGAGATAATGCAAGACCTATCAGCCCAAATTGTAAAGTATCGTTTAATGAAGGGAGGATAGTAAAAATGAAATGAAAGTAGGTGAAAATAAAATTAGAAATGGGAGAGGGTTTTTTCACTGTCACTAGATCAAATGTATTTTTCCAGAATTAGAATATGCACAACAGCTTGATTATTGATCCACATTTGTCATTATTATGACAACATTGAAAAAGTCCCACCATCACCTTCAGAGTAACAGTGCTATGTAGAACTCTTCTGCAGCTCTGCTGTAATAAGAAAGATAATGCAAAGTGGAATCAGACTCCCTCCCAGCTCACACTGCTTCTAATGTTATCCTTCTAACTAAAGATTTTAAAAGAGTACTTTTCCCATTTAGAGTTGCTGAAAAGCAAGCACAGAGATCAACTCTTTGATCCATTGCACAGTGACAACAGAAATTAAGCTATGATGTCCATTTCACATCCTTTTCTATCCTGTATGTTTGAAATGTACTTTTGAATTTGGAAACTGGTTAGCTCCAGTTGATCAAATTTGCAATTCGTGCTGCAAATAAATCTTCAAGTCTAGCTATTTTCTTCCTTTCAAGTTTCCATTTTTACCTCTCCCTGGCAGGTGGAAAGACCTAGAATAAATGACCGCAAAAAATCAAACCCAAGTGACTGTGTTCATATTCTCAGGATTCACAGATCATCCAGAATTGCAAGTTATCTTCTTTATCACATTCCTGGTGATTTACACCATCACTCTGGGTGCAAATCTAGGAATGATCATCTTGATCAGGATGGATCGACAGCTACAAACCCCAATGTACTTCTTTCTCAGTCACTTGGCTTTCCTGGATGCCAGCTACTCTTCTGCAGTTACTCCAAAAGCCATATGGGACCTTTTAGCTGAAAGGAAAACCATTTCCTTTGCTGGGTGTGCAGCACAGTTTTACATGTTTGATGGTCTAGTGATGACTGAATTCTTCCTACTGTCTGTGATGGCATATGATCGCTATGTGGCCATCTGCAACCCATTGCTTTATTACCTAGTTATGTCTAAGAAGTTCTGCACTGCGGCAGTGGCCGGTGTATATATCTATGGCTTTGCGAGTTCAGTGGTTCAAACAGCCTTGACTTTTCAGATGTCCTTCTGCAGATCAAATGTGATCAATCATTTCTACTGCAATGACCCACCGCTTCTCGCTTTGTCCTGCTCTGACACTCGACCAAAGGAAATCCAGCTTTTAGCTCTATCTGCTATCAACTTATGCAGTTCCCTCTCGGCAATCATCGTCTCCTATGTCTACATTCTGACCGCCATCTTTGGGAAACACTCTGCAGGTGGGAGTCAAAGAGGTTTCTCCACATGCGCCTCACACATGACAGCTGTGATCATTTTCTATGGCACCCTCTTCTTCATGTATCTTCAACCCAGCTCGGCTCATTCTCTGAACTATGACAAAGTGGTGTCAGTTTTTTATGCTGTTGTTATCCCCATGTTGAACCCTCTGATCTACAGCTTGAGGAACAAAGAAGTGAAGGGGGCCTTGAAGAGAGTGATGGGAAGAAATTGTTGTTATAGTATGGTTTAAATAAAGTGCAGCCCTGGTCCTGTGTTTAAAAAATAGTAGTATTACAGTTGACCAACTCTATAATTTTATGATTCTGTGACCCTGAGATAAATGCTACACTGATTACCATTTCAGAACTGTGTTTAATGATAAAGACCTTCCTATAGGGAGCCCATGGGGTGCCCTCCAGATCCTATCAACCAAGGCTCAGGGGTGATATAAACTACAACTTTGAGAGGGCACCATGTTGGCTTCCCTTGGAAGGGAATTGTCAAGGCTACGGGAAAGCTATTTCTCCCCCAGTTGCAGCAAGAGCAGGGAAAACAAGGTAAAGTCCTTTTTAATGAGTTTTATTCAATACTAATAGCGAGAGACAAAAGAACGCAACAAGCCTTAACAATGGCATTGCTCCAAACTGGGCTCCTCCTCCCTCCTTTCTAGCAATAGCACCTTCCCTTACAGTGGCCACTTGTGGCCAAATGTCTCTGATTCTGTTGTTCCTGCACTCTTAATGAACGAAGCATTCTGGGAAAAGGATGACCATCTGTACTGCCTCCACCACCCACAAGTGGTTATCCATCTATTGGATTTTCTGGTGAAAGGTAGCTGTCACCTTTGGAGTGGCAGGATGGCCAGCCAACTGGTCATTCAAGCCCCTCTAGGATGTACCTTGGATAGAGATGAGTGACTCTGCCAATTTAAGTTTCTCATATTTCCAGTTGTCCACATTTCTACATCAGTTTGTATTTTTTATAGTCCTCATGAAAATTCTGCAGCATTCTAGTTTGAATTTCCCCATATCTGATTTACACATATTTGAAAATCAATTTTCTCTCATGGATTTTTGTATGATGTTTTCAGTAATGGTACATTTGTAGGCATACTTTCCCCTAATCTATGCATTTTTGTACACATCACTTAACTGCACTGCAAAATTCAGAGAAATGCAAATTTCGAGACATCAGTGTGTTTCATTGTTTCAGAAAGTGCAAATTAGATGGGTTCGCCTTTGAATGCAAACTGAATTGTATTTCTCCCCCATCACTAGTCATGGAGATGACTTCTCCCCTCTGTTTACTAGCCATGGGTGTTTCATAGGAGGCTCCACATACTGTGCTGACCTGCTCAAATTTCCTGCTGGACAAGAGGACTTCAGGTGCCAAACCACTGAAGTCAGTAATGTCGATCACATCCTTTTCTACTCATATTACACCTGCATTCACTGATGCTTCAGAGTACACAATGACTATCTGTTC